AGTTTCCCCAGGGCCCAGTGGGGACCAGCAGAGACCCACAGCGGCTGAGTGGGGAGGACTCACCGGACCGAGGTGGGGCCCGCGCCCTGCCCAAGGCGCTGGGCACCCGGGTGGGGGGCGGGCGTCGAGCTCTGGGGGAGCTGGCTCGGCCCCGAGTCTGCACACGGAGTTCGCTTCTGCCCCCTGCACTTCGCCACGGTGACTCCCGGAGCCTGCAGCCCCGTGGCCGAGCCTCAGGACGGGACGTGCGGGCAGGGACACCCCGCCTTCTCTCAGGAGTGCGGTCGAGGCACGGCCGGGAGGTTTGCCGCTCCTCCAGCCTCAGCTGCCCTAGACCGTCACCTCATCCCTGACTCCCTCAGTCCAACCCACCCTCCTGGGTCTGGGGCCTCGCCCCGCTCTAGGCTCGCCCCAGTGCCAGCCCTGAGACCCCACCAGGCCATGCCCCTTTCCTGGTGGCCTCGCCCCTGGGTCCCCAGTAGCCAACCGCAGTGGGGGGCGGGACCTTCCGCAGGGCGGGGAAATGAGGGCCCACCCACCACCAGGACCAAGTACGGGGTTACCGGTGACTGACAGGCCTTGCCCCGCCCTCTAATGGGGTCTCGAGCGCCCACTGGTGAGGCGGTTTTGTTCTCCGTGCTGATTGGCTGCGTCTAAGCCTATCCTGCGCAGTGACTTCTGAGGCGCCCAGTGGTCTCCACTCAGGAGCGTGGCCGCACCCTGACAGGACCGGCTTCACGCCTCTGAGCAGCCTCCGACCCTCAGCGCGACCTCCTTGTCTCAGGTGAAAACTCAGTACCCCCAGCCCAGGCAGCTCCCAAGTCCCTCGCCCCACAGACCTCGAGCCCCGCCGCCCGCCCCAGAGGGGGCCCCAACGCCCGGGGTCCCCCCTGCCCGGGGCCCAAACCCCTCCCGCGCCCCAGGTCGAGAGCAGAGACCCCGGGGGGCCCGCGGGCCCCAGGGCGGCCGAGTCTCCCTCCCACACCCCGACCCTTGTCTGAGGCCCCGCGCCCACCGCCCCAGCCCGGGCTCCCGAACACCTCAGCCCCGCAGCCCCAGGTCCTCAGACGCCACCGTGAGCGAGCCCGAGCTGAGGGAGCCGAGTTCCCCACAGCCCCGCCGAGCCCCAAGGCGTCGGGCACCCCAAGTACCCGCCGAGAGCTCCGGCCCGCGTGAGAAGCCCCAAAGCCCTCAGCCGGCGACGCCCCACAGCCCGCCCAGCGCCCCAGTCCCACGCAACCCTCCCTGAGAACCTCAAGTCCCCAGCCTGAGGCCCCGAACGTCTGCCCCCGAGGGCCCCGGTCAGCCCGGACACCCCAAGGATCTCCCACCCCAGGAGCCCAATGCCACCAGCCCCGGGATTCCGAAGAAGCCCCGATTCTGTCTGCACAGGAACCCCACGTCCCCCCAAGATACCCTCTTTCTTTCGGTCCACGGGACCCCGACATTCCCCATGCTACGAATCCCAGTTCCGTCACTCCAAGATGACCCGTGTTCCTTAGCACAAGGGACCCCCAATATCCCCCACCAGAGAAAACCCAGTTCTGTCAGCCCGGGGACCCCGTGCCCCTCCCCACCGACAGAAATCCTAGTTCTCTCAGTTCTAGGGCTCCTAAAGATCCTCCACCCATAAAGCCTCGACTCCCTGAACCCATGGGGCCCCCGATGCTCCCCAGGCAAGAACCCCACTTCTGTCATTCTGAGAAGCCCCGCTTCCCTCAGCAGAAAGGGAAATACATCCTACCGAAGAAGCCCCAATTCTGTCAGCTCAGGGATCCCAAATATTGTCCTCCCTGTGACGCAGTTCCCTCGGCCTGAAGAACCCCAAAACGCCCTCCACCCAAAAAACACCAACCAATGCCAACTGCCCAAGGACCCCAAACACCCCCAACCTGAGGAACCCCAATTTCTTCAGCCCAAGGACACCAAATGACCACAACCCAAGGAACCCCCAACCAACTCCCTCCTGAGAAACCCTAATTATCTCAGCCCTATAGACCCCAAAATCACCCTATAAGAAATCCCCCAATTATCTCAGTGCCAGTGACCACCACAACCTCCCCCCAAGAAACCCTAGGGTTTGCTTGTTTGTTTGTTTGAGGCAGGTCTCCTTTTGTAGTTCAGGCTAGCCCCAAACTCACTGTGTAGCCCAGGCTGGGCTCAAACCAGTGGCGATCCTCCTGCCTCAGCCTCCCGAGTGCTGGGATGACAGGGGTGCACCACCATGCCCACCTCAGAAACCCTCGTTTCTTCAGCCTCAGCCTGAATTTCCCCCAATCACCTCGACCTGGAAACGCATCTCACCCTGACCACGGATGCCCGCCAAGGCCCACACACTGCCCCCAACCCGGAGTCCCCAGGTGGAAACCCCAGCTCCTGGAACCTCACAGGATTGTGGATGACCCCTCCTGCTCAGTTAGATTTAGAGCTAGTTAGGTTAGGCTCAGGCCTAGGGCTAGGGGTTAGGGTTGGGGTTAGGTTAGGTTTGGGATAGGGTAAGGACAAGGCTAGGCTTACGGTTTGTTTTGGAGTGCTCCACACCTTTGCAGCGCACTCAGATGTACACACACCACCCCTGGGCATGCACAGAGGAAGGAAGGGGCTCCTCTGCCTGGGTTCCTGTCCCAGACCCTCAGGCCATCCTTCCCAGGTCCCCCCGTTCTGGGGCCAGCAGAGAGCCCGGCCCTCAGCTCCTGTCCTTCCACAGGTGCCTGCACCTCCCTGGCCGCTGTCCGGGCTCCATGAGTGCCCAGAGCTCCTCGGAAGACAGCCCGGAGGAGGGCTCCTCGGAAGACAGCCCAGAGGAGGGCTCCTCGGAAGCCGGGCAGAAGCCCAAGGTAGATGCGTGCTGGGGAGGCCAGGCCTGGCCCAGGCAGGGTCTGCGGAGGGAGGTGGGGACCAGACCCTGGGGTGGGGGTGCGGGTGTGGCCCAGGCTATGGGGACAACTGCTGCTCAGGGCACACAGGTGTCTGGGGGAAGCACGGTCAGTCTGCCTCACAGAGACCCGGAGCCAGGCTGGGCCCCGCAGGTGCAGTGGAGGAGAGGAGGACTGGGAGCTGGGCTGGCATATCACACGGAATCTCTTTTCTCCAGGTCAAAGATGCTTTCAAGGACATTTCCAGATACTTCTCCAAGGAAGAATGGGCCAGGATGGGAAAGTTTGAGAAAAAACGCTACAGGAATGTGAAAAACAACTACAATATGATGCTTTCTATAGGTAACAAGAAATCCTGGGTCAGACTAGCCTGGAAACAGGAGGCCTCCGGTCCCTATGTCCCTGCAGCTCTGCCTTAGGGGCAGTGCACAGCTCCCTTTCACACGGAGTCAAGTCTGGAGGGAACTTCGTTGTTCTGCCCAGTGCAGAGCTGAGCCCTGCTCCAACACTTGGAGAGGCCATGTCCACTTCCCCTGCCCACCTGGCCTCTGTCATTTCCACTGCCACTGCCTTTTGTCTCTCCTCCCAGCCCTTCCCTTACAGGAGGAAGATTTTGTTCCTTCCAGGTCTCAAACCCCATCGGCCGGCTTTCATGTGTCAACGAAGGCGAACCAGCAACCCCCTGGTGGATGACACTGAGGATTCTGATGAAGAGTGGACGCCTCGGCAGCAAGGTGAGGCTGGGAGGACATACAGGTCACCTCCGGAAGTGAGGCCAGAGTGGAGTCTCAGAAATGTCTCAGAAGGAAACTAGGAATCCAAGCTTCCTGGAAAATGTGTTGGCAAACAAGCAATATGCGAAACCATACATACAGTAAGAGGCTATTTGTGGGCAGTTTTTAAAGGAGAAACTATGTATGTGCGTGGTGTGCGTACGTATACAACTACAGGTACAGTAATAAGTGGAAACACCTAAAATCTGTGAACAAGAAACATCAAATCCAGAGCAGTTACCATCACAGGAGGAGGAGAAGGGCTGGGGGGTGGCTTTCCAGTAGCTTAGTTCTTGTTTTATTTTGTGTCCATTTTTGTTTTCAGATTTTGAAACAGAAATAAAAAGATTGGAAACAGTTGTGGTGGAATGCTGACATCAGACTGAATTAGGAAGGATGTGCAGGGTGTCCAAGGCCAGCCCCACACTATTTCTGTTTTTAATTTATCATTTCGAAAAGAACATTTTCACTGAACTTTAATCACAAGGCAATTGAAGGAACTTTAACTGTTTGGTTTTTTTTTTTTTGAGTACCAGAGATCGAACTTGGGACCTTGCGTTTGCAAGGCAGGTGACTGCGCCACTGAGCTAAATCCCCAGCCCTGAAGAAACCTTAACTGAGTGACAAGCCTGTCCCCAAATCTCTCCCTAACACTGATATAATAATTTGGTTGTTGGATTAAATATCTTGGAAGAGCGAATGGCTTAACATATTATATAAAGATACATAGTTGCTGCTGTTACTGAGTCATGGGAGTTCTTTGTAAATTCTAGATACAAACCCCTTATCTCATATATGGTTTCCATATTCTCTCCCATTCTGTAGGTCACATTTTCATTCGCTTGTCTGTTTCCTTTGCTGCACAGTTTTTAAGATTGGTGTGACCCCATTTGTCTATTTTTGCCTTTGTTTCTTGATGCTTTTGGTGTCATATCCAGGAAAACACCAGTCATTCCAAGGTCATCAGGAGTTCCCCATTTTTTTCTTCTGACAGTTTAACAGCTTCAGGTTTTATGCTCAGGTCTTTAATCCATTTTTAATTTTTGTCCTGTTCCCTCCTGGTATTCTTAGTTCTGAGATTCCCCGGTAAGAATATGAAACTCTGAGGATACCGAAGTCTCCTATAAAGTAATGGAGTGCTGGCATATAAGCTGCCAGACACTTTGGTCATCTCTCCATTACTTATGATACCTAATTCAATATATATCCACTGTGAGTACTCGTACTTGTTACACTGTATCCTTTAGGGAATAATGCCAAGAAAAATATCTCTACATTTTCAGTACATGTGCATTTTTCCAATATTTTTGATCTGCCTTTGTTACACCGGTGAGTGTGGAACCCACACGTGTGGAGGTACAACTGCATCTAGAGTAAAATACAGGTTGGTCTCCCGGTTTCCCATATGATGTTAGGTGTCAGCTTCCCCAGCCCTGTCTCCTGAAGAGACTGTCCTTTCCCCATTGTATGGTCTTGGTGCCCTTGATCATGTGCGTGAAGACTGCTTTACCTGTCTCTTCTGCTTCTTTGACTGTAGTTTTTTTTTTTTTTTTTTTGGGTACCGGGGATCAAACTCAGGACCTTGCGCTTGCAAGGCAGGCGCTGGAACCACTGAGCTAAACTCCCAGCCCAGCTCTTCTCCTGCTTTGGCCTGTCTGTCTGTGTGCCAGCATCACACTGTTTTGATTGCTATAGCTTTATAATCAGGAAGTGGGAGGCATCCAACTCGGTTCGTCTTTTAAAACAGCAACTGTTTTAGCCATTCTGGATCCACTGAGATTCCATACAAATTTTTGGATTTTTGAAAATTTCTGAAAATTCGGCATTGGCGTTTGGGTAGGGATGACATTGGGTCTGTGGATCATTCTGGGGCAGCATGAACATTTCACAGGGTATCTTTCCATTTGTTTCTGTCTCCTCTCATTTCTTGCAGCGATGTTTCATAGTTTCGGTATTCAAGTCTTTTGCCTTCTTGGTTAAGTTTATTCCTAAGTATTTCAGTCTCTATTATGCTGCTGTAGGTGGAATTCTGTTTTTCAGTTTCCTTCGTGTTTGTTTTTACTGCATAGAAACACACCTGGTTTTTGAGTGTTGATTTTGTATCCTACAACTTGGCTGAATTCATTTGTCAGTTCTGAATTCTGGTGGAACCTTTAGAGTTTTCTGTGTGTCAGATTATGTCTTCCGTGAAAGCATGAACGAAGGAAGGTAACCGACTTCTTCCTCTCCAATTTGGGAGAACTGATTTCCCTTTCTTGCCGAGTTGTTGGCTAGGACTCCTGGGCCTATGTTGAGTAGAAATAGCGAGAGAGGGCCCGCATGCCCCTTCCTGAGCTCTGACTTCTCAGCTGGGTATAGCGTAGATGTGAGCTTGTTCCACACGACCCCTGCGTGGAAAGGTGATTTCCTTCTGTTTGGAGTTTGTTCAGGGTTACTGTCCTAAATGTCCAATTGATTCCATTTTTTACAATAAATGTCACCCATGTCTTACAAACATAGGTGGAGTAGAAATGGGGTTCTGTCTGTTCTTTAAAGGCACTGAAAGCAAGTGAGTGATGGTAACTTCACAGACGAAAAGGCTGTAGGGATTCCTCAGAACCTTGCCATGTGACCCATGGATCATCCTGGGGGTCTTCACTATGCGGTTCTGAATCCCGTCAGTAAGAAGCATCCCAGAGTCTGGAAACATTTACCAACCTAAACCTGACTTCTCATCATCTTTTAGTCAGAACTCCTCGGGTGGCCTTGCGAACGGAGCAGAGCAAACGCCGGACGGTGAGTATCCCCCGAGCCCTACTGGCCAGAAACTTCCTTCTGGGCCCACGCACGCAGAGGCGAGAGAAGGAGAAGGAACAGAGCAGGCTGGAACAGCTGCCTCCCTTTGGTGACATCTTCCGCACAGTGTCTGGGCTCCTCAGTGTTGGGCTCCTCCTGGGGAGGTTGTTTCTTTTTGAGACAGGGTCTCACTATGTAGCTCAGGGTGGCCTTGAGCTCACTGTGTAGCCCAGGCTGGCCTCACTCTCACGGCAATCCTCCTGCCTCAGCCTCCCGAATGCTGGGATGACAGGCGTCACCACTGCACCCAGCTGTCATTGTCATTTTTAGAACGAATAAGAACAGAAACAGTGATCGCTACCACTTTTGTTTTTGTGATATTTCAGATGTTGTTTTAAATGAATAAGCCCATTGAACCTTACAGCAACACTATAGGGTAGGTAATAAACCGTCAGCATGTCACAGAGGAGGAAGCTGAGGCACAGAAGTATTCCATTCTGTGCCCTGGCCCCCAGCCAGCGACGGTCTGCTCTACCATGCCCTCTCCAAAGCAGCTGCAAGCTCATTAAACTTCTGGCGTGTGGTGAGTGGTGCTGTCTCCCCGGTACACCATCCGCCTGATGACTCCAGCCTCGGTTGTTCTGCTGTGCCATGGTGAGGGCTGTGCTGAGGCACTGAGGGAAGCTTCCAGGTTCACGGCCGGCGTACTGTTTGGGTCGGAGACAGAGCCCCCAGCCTCCACACAGGCGCCCATTCCGTAGGAGGAAGCAGCTCCAGCCCCGGGGAGTTTCAGGTTTGATGCCTGAGAAATGACAAGGTGTCAGGACCTCAGAGAGGTCACACACCGCTCAGGAGAAAGGCATCTTCCTAGACCGGACTGCAGAGGCTCCTTCCGTGGGAGGGAGGAGCAGCTCCTACCTCTGGCAACCCCTCAGTTGTCTGGCATCACTGGTTCAGCCGCTACCTGGACTTGTGATCTCTGGTCCATCCCTGACTCTGCTTCAAAACCTAGGTCCCTGGAGGCCCCTTGGTGTGTTCAAAGTAAGCTGCAAACACGCACGCTGACAGGCTCAGGGAGGGCTTAAGTGTGTGAGTTACATTTCCCTTGTGGCCGTGGATGAGGAGGTGAACTGACATCAGGGCAGTGAGTGAGGCATGACTCCACATCCAGTAGCTCACGGAGCACCGTGGTGGACGTGCTTACATTTCCCACTCGCGATCACATTAAGAACTACCACTTACATCACTATGCGGACCGGGAAATTGAGGAGACTTAGTGAATTTCAAGCAAGATCAGTACAGGAAGCAATTAATCTAATTCCAAAGCAAACGTCCTTTCCAGGACACGGCGCTCTGCAACTTGCAGCCTGGCTTTCTCGGTCGTGCGGGTGCATTCCTGCCAGCCCTTCCTCAGGCTCTGCCCGGCCTCGCGGGCCTCCACCGCATTCCCAGGCGTGTCTTGTCCCGTCTCCGCTGTTCGGCGTTTCCATCGAATGTCTCCTGCTTCATGGAGAACGCCCCCCAGTTCCCGGGGAGCTGCACCCCCTTCCCTCGCACAGCTTCTCCACTTCCTCACTGGTCTTCCCAAGTATCCGCCCTCCCTCCGTCTCGCTTGTGTGGATCTGAGAGAAAGCTGGGGGTGGACAGCCCCGGGACAGGACAGGGTTCTGGACAGGGTACTAGTCACGGATTCGCGACCCCCTGGGGCTCTTCCACTGCCCAGAAGTATTCAGACACCCCAGGAAGCTGCAAGGGTCGTGGAGTATTAACTGGAGTCGCCCTGTCAAATCACGCTGCGCACCCTGAACAATAAACACACGCACGCTGTTCACATACGCTTCTCTCATTACAGGGAAGGCCCAGGGCGCTGCTCAGTGCTGACCCCCGTCTGAAGGAATCGCCAGGAGCAGCAAGTTTGCAGGACACAGGTGGCCCACAAGAGACAGAGCCTCCCGTGTCCTCTCCCAGAGCAGGAAGGAACTCCGGACAGCGCTCGCGAGGAAAATCGGGTAAGAAGCGCTTTTGCACTTTAGTCTGCCTCGGCCCTCTACGGAGTTCGTGAGGGTGGCCAGCTCGGTGGGGTGCACTTTGGCCCAGACGCAGGCTGGACTGAGCCGTGGGGCTGGCGAAGAACTCTGACTCTCAAGGCGCGGGCTTGGGTATTTACCAGCACGGGGGCCCTGTGCACTCGGGCGCCTGTCAGAAACCCTGTGGCCTTGCGATGCTCATCAGTGAAGAAGGGGGAGGGTTCACAGCTCCTCTGTCACCTGAAAGCCTTGAGCAAAATAGGCACAACGGACAGGTGCGTGCAGGGTGCCCCACCCACGCTCCCCTCCTTCGTGTTGTCCGGCCAGGTGGCTGCTCGGGCCTGGCCGCTCCCTGCCCTGTGGGCTGCGTGGGGCCTGCACGGCGGGAAGCGGGACCACAGGCCGAGCAGGGAGCGGAGCGTGAGGAGGGACACACGAGGGTGGGTGGGAGGAGGTTCCGCGTGTTCTGAGGAAACGGGACAAACGCCGCCCTCGGCCAGCTTTCCTGCTCTGCTGTTCTTGGCCTCTAATTAGAGCCCAGGAGGAAGGGCATCGCACCCAAGGTGTACAGCCTGCGGGAGAGAAAGTGTCGCACGTACGAAGAGGTCAGCGAGCCCCAGGACGACGACTACCTGTGTAAGCGGCCCTGACTCTGGCCCCCTGGGGTCCAGGACTGAGGGGAACGACGGGGTGTGGGCAGCTCTTCACAGCGGGACCCTTCCCGACCCCTGCCTTCACCGCAGACTGTGAGAAGTGCAAGAACTACTTCATCGACAGCTGTGCCGTGCACGGGGCCCCTGCGTTTGTGAAGGACAGTGCGGTGGCCGAGGGGGCTGCAGACCGTGCCGTGCTCAGTCTGCCCCCCGGGCTGAGCATAGGGCCGTCCAGCATCCCTGGGGCTGGGCTCGGAGTCTGGAATGAGGCCTCCCATCTGCCGCTGGATCTGCACTTCGGCCCCTACGAGGGGCAGCTGACAGAGGACGAGGAGGCAGGCCGCAGCGGGTACGCCTGGATGGTGAGCGCCCTCCTTCGCCTCTCCTGCAGCACGGACGCGGGCGGGCGGGCGGGATGCTAGCCCTGGGGCCTCCGCCCGGCTGGACAGGAAAGTCCACTGCGCTGTGCCGACGGCGGCCGGGGTGCAGGGTGTGGTCCCGACTGGTGTGCAGACTGCCGAGGGCTCAGCTGAGCGTCGCCACGGAAGACTGCCAACTTTCCTGCTTCTCCCGACACGCAGGTCACCAAGGGGAGACACTGCTATGAGTACGTGGATGGCAAGGACAGGTCCCGGGCCAACTGGATGAGGTGAGGACGGTGCGTGTCCGCTTCTACCGGGGCCCCTGTCCCTCAGTGCCCAGCTCCTTTCCTGCTCGCCCTTGCTCTCTCGCCGCTTTTCGTCGGCTTCTTCTCTTTTTCCTCTGCTCTCTGCTCTTCCACGTCGTGAATAGTCAAGAAAAAAGAACTAACCATGTACCTACCACAAGCCACCTTTTCTCACGGTGTATATCTGCAGGCTAGACACAATTCCGTCCCTGGATAAATCTGCAGAGCCCAGCTTCATCGCTGACCCTGGACTCACTTTACTGCACATTTACCAAGCCTCTGCTGTGTTGCAGTTCAGAGCGTGGACAGAGCCCGCGTCCCTGCGGAGGGCACAGAGCAGGCACGGGGCGTTCCCATACAGGAATATGTACCCGGAACTTCTGTTTTTCTTCAGGAAGTGCAGAGGGGCAGGACAAGCTAGAGCAAGGGACCTGTAGGCTGGGACGGCTGAGTCTTCTGAGCCGCAAAGACATTGGCACTGGGTTCTAAGCAAGCCTGGGAGAAGTGAGCTGCAGCAGGCCGGGGCCCCTGTGCCGAGCGGCCCCTGATCTCCCCAGGGCTCTGGTTTTGTCAGCGGACAGAGGACAGGCACACGCGGTCACTGTTCCTGTTGCTGTCGCAGAGTTCCAAGAGGTGGGAGAGACCCAGTGGGACTCGGGAGCATGTATTTCAGGGCTGCACACCGCCCAGCGGGCTCTGTGTCCAAACTGGCTGAGCAAAAACACAAAGGCAGGAGGGTCCCTCGCCTACAATCTGTAGTGTGTAGCCAGCAAGTTAGGGAAACAAGAGACAAAGGCAGTTAGCTCTTCCCGAGTCACGCTCTTATCCTGCCTTGCGGGAAACGGCGGCCTGTGCTCCCGGGATGTCGGGGTGTAATCAAACTCCTCTCCAGCCTGCAGCTCTGAGCTGCATCCGCCCCGGGACAGGGTGCCCTCTCCTCAAAGGAGCAGCTGTCCAGAGATGGGCTGCCCAGTCCACCTCTTCTGCCGCCTGGGGGGGACCCGGGTCGCATTCCTGCCGCCCAGGGTCAGGCAGACTCTCAGGGCAGAGGCTGGGCTTTGCCGGCATCTCTGCCTCACTGTCATGCTAAGGCAAACAGGATTTTGTGCAGGAAGCCGGGGGAGGTGCGTGGTCCCCGGACGGGTGGTGGGGAGAACTCCCCAAAGCTGACTTGGGCCCTGGGAGAAGGGCAGGGGCCCCTCCAGAAGCAGGGTCCTCCATGGGGAGAGCCAGAAGCGGCTGTCAAGTTTAGAAGGGAAGGGGTCACTGCGCCCACGTCCACTGGAGCTGCAGGAAGTCTGAGGTCGGGCGTGCAGTGCTGGCTGCTGCGGGAGGGGAGGACCCGGGAGGACCCTGGAGCACGCGTGAGCAGCGTGAGGAGGGCCTGCAGCTCAGCGAGCGAGGACCGTGTGGACCAGACCTGGGCAGGAAGAGGTTTGGCTGCACACGGAACCGACCCCTGGTCTCTGCCCGTTTTGCGGCCCCACCCCAGGTACGTGAACTGTGCCCGGGATGAGGAGGAGCAGAACCTCGTGGCCTTTCAGTACCACAGGCAGATCTTCTACCGCACCTGCCAGCCCATCGGGCCGGGCAGCGAGCTGTTCGTCTGGTACGGGGACGAGTACGGCGAGGAGCTGGGCATCAAATGGGGCAGCAAGTGGAAGCAGCAGCACACAGCTCGGACAGGTAGGCGGCACGGCAGCCCTCACGCTGGGAGAAAAGGAAGCATCTCCTCGGGCACTTCCTCCTCAACCCTTTTCTGAGGAGGACTGGGGATGGGACCTGGGACCCCGTGCTGGAGAGGCAGGCAGCGGCCCCATGGCGCTGAATCCCCTGCCCACTCTTCAACTCTTAAGGAGGCTGAGATGCAGTCCAGAGGCAGTACAGTTTCTAACCATGTACAGCAGACCCACGAGTTACGACCAGCCTGACATACAAACAACTTGGGTATTGACTTGCAATTTTAGTTTTGAGGACCAGTCTTGAGTTACGACATGAGTGCTGGCCGCTCGTGCTTCCAGATGGGCTGAGGTGCAGACTGAACCCTAAAGCGCTCTGGAAGGAACAGGACAGCGTCCTCTCCCGTGTGGGGCTCACTGAGCAGTCCCAGGCCGGGGTCTCTCAGGACCCTGAGCTCTGCCTGTGGGCAGCGGAGAGGCTCTGCAGGCTGTGGAGGGGCTGAGCCTCCACTGACAGATCTGAGTTACAACCAGCCCTGGGGAACAGATTGTGTTCCTAAGTCAGGGGTCCACGGGACTTCAAACCAAGATTCATTTCGCAGGCCTTAGACCCTGAGGAACAGTTTTTATCCTTTAAAACCCTTGTTCTGCTTCCATCTTGAAGTATCTCGTGCACAAATGTCCCACGAAGCACAGTGCCGAAAGGCTGCCAGGCCCAAGGGCAGGCTCTCAGCAGCCTCTGGGCTCTCAGTGCTTCCACTCCCTCGCGGGGCCCTCGCCTCCTGCCCGGGCTGTGGTGGTGGGAGCGGCCGTGGAGGGACGGAGGGACGGAGGGACGGGACGCTCTCTGTGCTAAGAGGACGCTGCGCTTTGTGCTGGACAATGGGCCGCAGTGAGACGCCCTTGCGGGGCTGCTCCAGCCTCTGGGTGACAGGGTGACTAATGGCTGAGGGGAGGGCGAAGTCAGCAGGGAAGTCACCTGCTACGCGGTAGGCATTGAAACAGGACTTCCCCCGATGGGAAATGGGCCGGGTGTGGATTCACCTGAGGGGGGACACATTTGTACCTGGTGACATGGGGCGCAGCAGAGAAGCGATTCCTGGCCTGTGGGGGCCGCCCGACCCAGAGTCCCGCCTTGTCCCGGGTGGATTCTCCTTCCTGGTGGAGAACCAAAGGGCGCTCCTCATGAAATGTCATTCTGCGGGGGACACTCACACTCAGACTTACACGCACTCTAACCGTGCGTCTCCGGGCTGGGCGGACCCTAACTTCATAGGAGCCTGACCCCTCTCGGGAAAAGCCACTAAGGACACCCGTATGGGAGTCATCAAGCACTGTTAGTTCTCGGTGGGTAAAGGGACAGCGCAGGCTGTGTCTGGAAGGGCTGTGGCAGAGGACGGCCAGGGAAACGAGGGCGGAGACAGCTGCAGTAGGGGCTGCAGGCTGGCAGCTCCATGTGTGCCTGGGGCGAAGCTGCCCTGGGAGACCCCAGTCCGGATGACACGTAGGAAAGGCCCCTGACGTGGGCCGTCTGGGTTTCCACGACGCAGTGAGTAAGACGGAACGGACAGGTGCACTGCAGGGAGCACTTGGCCGGACGCTGCGTGTCAGCACGTGAAGCCCGGTGGTGGGCCGGCCTTACCCAGCGGGCCTACACCCGTCTGACCCAAACGACTCTCTCAGCAGGACCGAAGGCGGACGTCCAGCCTTGTCCCTCCTGCTCCCTGGCCTTCTCCAGTCAGAGATCCCTCAGCCAGCACGTCAAACGCAGTCACCCCTCTCAGATACCCCCAGGAACACCTGCAAGAGAAAACCTCAATCCACAGGATCCCCGCCTGCGGGACCAGCTTGGGGAGCTGCAAGACCCCGACCCATCCAGCAGCCTGAACGAAGGCGGAGGCCGAGAGGTCCAAGGAAGGTCCAGCCCTGCGCGTCAAAGGACATGGCAGAGAGGGGTTTCGAGGGCCTCTCCCAGCCCACCCCAAGGACATATAGGGGGGTCTGGGGAGCGTGAGGGAGGGGTGGAGGTGGGGCTCAGGACGGGCCACGACGTGGATCCAGGGGACACAGGCTCAGGGCGTCCCGGAGAGGGAGTCTCACAGGTTGCAGGAGCCCAGCATGGAGGGAGTGGGCCCCGCCTCGGTGATGGCTCACTTGTCAGCAGGAGCCGGGGCTCACAAGCAGGGGAGAAGCCCTATGTGTGCAGGGAGTGCGGGCGAGGGTTTAGCCGTAAGTCATCTCTCACCCAGCACCAGCGGACACACACAGGGGAGAAG